GTTGCTTGGCTAGAGCTTCTTGAAGCATTTGAGCAAACTGATCAGAAGTGATTGTGAGCACTTCTCTAGTTTGCCCCGTGCTAGATACTGTATCATCAGAAGCGATTGCAGAACAAGTGTCCGAGAATTCATCCTCCGAGGACATTCCTTCTTGCATTCTCTTGTAATCTCTGCGTCTGATGGCTCCTAATTGGAGTCGAGACATCCTTTGAACAATTCTTGGATTGACTTTTCCTTTCGGGGAAAAGTCAGGATTTGAGTCACTTGAATGCCGCTTAGACTTTCTTTTATCAGCCACGTTGATGGTGACTTCAAGGAATTCATCATCTTGGACAGCTGATTTTCTCTCGCGGAAATGTCGATATCTCGGTGAAAAGCCTCTGGAACACTAAGACTCTTTGCAGGATGGCTTCTCGTTTGGAGTAGTCACATTCTGACAGTACTGCTCTAATGAGTCGCATACAGAAACAATGAGAGCTCATTTCTCGGACAATCCTCTTTCGAGTTTTGTTCACACCCCCAGCTTGATAGTACAACTCATCGGTATAATTACCGGAGAGTCCTATCATCTGTTGGTATGAGCCCCCAGGTATAACAATGTCTTTTGACGAACATGTCTTCTTCTGAGGATATAAAGCCTTGTTGGCGTTCTCAGGATAACTTGTTGCCGCATTTGAGCGATCCAAGGTCACGTCAGGAGTCGCATGTTTAGAACCACCCCCTTGCGAGTGCAGAGTCTTAACAGGCTCCTGAGTTTCATTACGAACTCCCAAACGGGTAGAAATTAGGGTTTTCCCATCTTGGAGTTGTTTTGACTTGATAGGAGGATACTTACGACCCCCAGTGTAAGAATCTATTTGGGGTTCATTCACCGGACCCAAGCGTTCTTTGACCGGAGCTTTGCCTCGATCTTCAGGTAAAGGATCGAGGCTATCCACCATTATAATTTTGGATTTCGACAGGTCAGGACTGACCCAGGGTTTCACTGGTGATACAGCGTGTGTTGACACAGTAGACGGACCCGGAACGGACGTTGATGGAGTCGAAGGAGTACTCTTGTGAAACTTTTTTTGGCCGCGGCAATGATTGGTGTCGCGGTCGAACAGTGTGCCGCGACAGCGGAGACTGCCACGGTTGAAGGAGATACTGCGATAGTATGAGCTGTCACGGTTGAAAGAAGCGCCGCGGCAATAAAGACTGCCGCGGTCAAATGTTGTGTTCTGCAGACCCAATTTTTGTATGAGTTTGGATTTGGGGATCCATACTTTGTGATTCTTTGGTGCTTCCTTAGACACTGTTTTCTTCTTTCCTTCTCGTCTTTGTTGTAAAAGAGCAAGGGCACGAGCGGTGTTTGCCATACGCTTTTGTATGCGTTCTTTGAGGGTCGAACGGACCCTTTTGATAAGAGTCCATTCATCCGTCGTTAGTTTGGCAGAGATATGAGTGATTGGTTGTTGAGACAACTGAACCACTCGATGCCTCCTCGACTCTAGGTCTGCGTGATAACGAACCCCGTCGGTTTGTTCCAAGGCCTTAGCTAATTGACGAGCGCGGTGTTGCCGTCGCCTCTGACGAGCCCTCTTCGTCAGAGTTGGCGAACTTCGATCGAACGACTCCTTAATTAGGATGAAATCATTATGAGCAGAGCTTCCGGCTTTGGGGGTCGCCTGGATAATGTTGCAAGACAAGGCCTCAACAACGATTAGGCGAGAGTCTTCACTTTTAGCCTTCTTTGGCGTATAAGCTTTCTTCAATGATGAGATCCTCTTGTACTTGCGAAATAATGAAGATCTTGAAGAGGATGATGAGAGATATTCCTCAAACTTGGTTTGGTCAAAC